CACACACACACACACACACACACACACACACACACACACACACACACACACACACACACACCTCCTAAATATTTTTATGGTCACAAGTCACAAAGTTCTTAGACTGATGAGGAAATGCTGGCAGTAGAGCCAGTAAAAACTTTTTGCTCAGTGGAGAAAAGAACTTTACTTGCATTCATAAGAAAAGGAAGATACAGTATGAGAAAAAAAGCTTTAACTTCTTAACTTTATTTATCATGAATTTGTTCTGACTTCCTGGTTTAAGATTCCTTAGAACCTGAATTGATGGGTTACTACAAATATGAAACAAGTAATAGGACTGGTTTTTACTTTTGAGAATGGGACTTAAGCTTTTGTAAGATGTTTGTTATGACCCGGCTCTAAGAGCCGCAACATAATTGGAAACAGGACACAGGATGCCAGTTTTAAACCTTAAGAAGGCCATTCGTTAAAGTGTCTAGGAGTAAAAAACAGAGAAAAAAAGAGATAAAAATTGGGAAGAAACACTAAAAAGGAACTATAAACTAACTTCATGAGATAATCTTATGACTCACCCAAAATACTTTGATGCAAATTGTATTGATTCCAAGACATTTTTTTTCAAACTGTGGCTAAAATACAAAATGCGGTAAATACAGACAATACCGTAAATATGTATTAGTATTAGAAATACGCACCATTAGACTGACTGAGAGGGCACCCTCTTCAACAATCCTACCTAAAAGCCTGGGCAGTGTACACCCTGGACTGGTCTCCAATCCATCACCGGGACACATACAGATAAGACAGCCCTTCACTTTCTTATCTATGGGCGGTCGGTGGTTCGGCCCCATGGTAGTGCTATGTGCTCTTGTTTTGTGGCTCCATGATATGCCTCTATAACGCGCCTCCAGTCAGCTGATCTGCTGAGCGTGGTGGTGGAAACTTGTTAATGTGAAATTTCAGACCCGTACATGCAAATGTACGTGCGTAGGCTTGCGACGCAACATGAGAAAGTTGAAAAAATGTAAACGTTTATTGCTGTTGCGTGGTGCTACAATCATTTAGCAAAGGTTTCATTGACTGATCAATGATCAGAGTATTCCACACACTGTGGTGAGCAACCACTTCCAACTTGGAGGAAAACCTTATTTTAGATGTGTCTGACTTACCTTTTTACGACACTTCAAGATATCCTTCTATTTAACACATAAAGATCCACATTCTACCCACTAATTCCTCTGTGTTTACAGTCATTATGGGAATAAAGCTGTGCATAAAGTTGGAAAGATTTTAGCCTCGGAAAGGTGCCTGTCCATGTGCACACATGGTTTCATACAGCGGGTAAAATAAGTATTGAACACGTCAACATTTTTCTCAGTAAACATATTACTAGAGGTGCTAATGACATGAAATTTTCACCAGATGTCGGTAACAACCCAAGTGATCCATACATACAAAGAAATC